AAATTGCAACATGCTTTCGTGTCTTTCTATTTCTAATTCCAACTTTTTGTTCTGGTGTCAAAAAAAAAGAAAAAAGAAAAAAGAGAGGGACGGCACTGGCAGAAGTGGAACCAAGCCAAAAAATATATATATATAAAATGCTTAATCGCTGTCCAGTAAAATCAGTGCTTACTTGAAAGATTACCTGAAATTGGAGATGATATGGTGTACAGATCAGTGATCAATTGCAGTCCAGTAACTCCAGTTACAGGAGGTGTGAAAGGGTAAGCTCTGTGAGAGTTGTCTTGCATTCTTGCTATGACCGATGGGGACTAAGAGGAGACCAGATGTTGTGCAAAGTGTAGAAGAGAGTTGGGAGGAGAAAAGTCGAAGGAGAGTTGAGAGGAGAGTTGGGTGGAGAAGAGTCAAAGACCAGATGTGCGCAAGACGAGACCAGAGGCGATGAGTTTTTTTAGCTTTTAGGGTTTCCTTTCTTTAATTTATAAATAGAAAAGTTGGAAAAACATAATTAACTTTAAAAATTTTTAACTTAAACTTTAGATGTGGGGTTAACATGGTAATTTGATCAAAATAATCAAAGAAAATTACATAGCGGCTGCTATGCACGCTATCCGCTATTTGTATTGCGGCCGCTATCAGCGGTAATAGCAGCCGCTATTGAAGAAACGCTACGCTATGAAAATTTGTCATAGCGGCTGTAGCTGGCCGCTACGCTATGCCGCTATAGCGGCCGCTATGGCCGCTATTGACAACAAGTTAGGCGAAGGAGAGCAGATCGATGATTAGGAACGAGTGATGAGAATGGTGATCAGTGAGGGAAGGGGGGAAAACTCGTGAAGGTTGTAGATGTCCATGATCGTCGGTATCGATCTGCAAGCCGACCTAAAGAAGTCGAAGACCCAACCCCTGGCCTCCTCCAGGTTCACCAAGTTCGGTGACACCTTCACGCCCGTCAACGTAAACGCCATGTTTCCAATCGAAACCCAACACTCGAACCTCTGTGGATTGAATTTTAGGATCAAATCAAAACAGCTACAGGCAGAAAACTGATGATAGGAGAAAATGGAGAAAGAGGGTTCTGGATGGGAGAAGAATCGGGTGATGACCGGTGATGGAGATGGAGGCTGTTGATCGGAGAAAAAAATGGGGAAAGGGGATTCTGGATGGAAGAAGAA